TGTGAGGTCATCTGTAAAAAAGCTGAAGCTTGGCCAGACCTGGGCCATTGCAAAAGGAAAATGATCCCAAGCACAGCAGCAAATCTACAACAGAATGGCTGAAAAAGAAAAGACTCAAACAGTTGCCAGACCTCAGGATGATGAATTCTGTGGCGGTACCTTAAGAGAGCTGTGCAGAAACAAATTTTAGCAAACCTCAATGAAATGAAGCAATGCTGTAAAGACTCTGGGCCAAAATTTCTCCACAATGATGTGAGAGACTGAAAATGATCACTTCAAATTATCGCTGCTAAAGATGGTTCTGCAAGCTACTGATCACAGGGTGTACTTTGATTTTCACAAGGCTGCAGAGTCCTATGAAGACTTTCTTTTTCCTGACTGTACTCACAGCTCCTTGACTTACTACTCAAATCCACACAAAATACATGCAAGAAAGGGGCAACGCTGTAGCATCTCCACAGTGTCGACACAGTTGTGTAAACTGGGTAAATTCAGTGGGAAAATAATTCCTGCATTTTCATTCAAGCTTGAAACGTACCTGAATATGACACTATAAGAAAGGGCTGATATAACTGAATGAACTGTCACAGAGGAAGCAATGGGTGATGGATGACAGCCCCAGGCACAGCTGTATTCATTCCCCCGGGAGTCACCTGCAGCAGTAAAAACATACCACTCAAACTGTAAATGCAGTACTGTCTGTTTCGACAACCCTCTAACACACGGGGCCTCTCCATATTGCATGCAGACAATACAAAGAGATTTACACAGCTTGAATGCTTTTTTTATTATTTATTACCCTCTCTATAACTCTAATTAGAGCCCTAATGCTAATGTACTGCATCCCAAATTTAGTTCTTCTTGCATTTCTGCTATATACAAATACCTCCAGTACCTCAAGTATGTTCAGTGCGAGGGCAGCTTAGGCTGATAGATAGTATTTCATCAATTTAAAACTTAGAGGGAGTTAGAAAGGTAGATAAAATGGCCAGGATTAACTGCTGAAAATACTTTAGTGGACTTACTCACGTAAGCTAGCACTGCCACCTTGAGGGAAACAAATTATATTAAAACATATTTTAAAACCACGGGTCTGACGGGGGAGTTGAGGGGAGTTGATGGTTGTTTTTCTTTTTTTGGTCTGGCATTATTATACTCTGTATAGCTGATTGACAATTGGGTGACCCAAAAACCCCAAAAGATGAACTAGTTTTCTTTCTAAAGTGCAAGTTTTAAAAATAGATTCCCTAATAATATACAAACAGCTTTCCCATCTCTGACACATTTTCACTTTTATCTTATGCTACATAGCGGTGACCTGATTCTTTGTGGGGACAAAGGCAAGACCCACATCGGTCCACTTCGTCAGAAGGACCTGCCAGGATTTTAACCACACGGTGGCGCTGTTTAATTGCGTATTGCACTACTACTGCAGGTTTTAAGCTCCCTCTCAATA